GATATGCGTGACAGAGAGATATGTAAATATGCAAGAACAGAAAATAAGATTTTTATTTGGTAATCATGTATTAAGACGCATGTAATGAAACAAGATGTAATAGATAAACTTAGATCATAGAATATATCGATCTACATCCATAGATAGAACATGCGAAGGGCGGGGAAGGGACGGAATTCATTATCGCTCACGGCCCATTACGATGGTCATGAAAAAATAGATACAGAAAAGAAACAGAAAAGAAAAATAGATACAGAAACTTGCAAGATACAGAAAAAGTTACGCGATGTTAACAGCGATATTAAACTGTGGACGTGTCTGAAAGCAGGAACCTACTGAGAAAAGGAGAAGCATCTATTAAACTCGTCTAGTGTGCCTTCTAATCGAGTGTATCAAAAAGAAGCGGCTCGCGCAGGACGTTTTAACATCATGGGAGATCCTAGGAAATTTCATGTTTTATGATGGATTTGATTTAACGGAAACTATGCGGAAAATCCTCATCCTTCAGTCTTCATCTTTAACTTCTGACATCTTAGCTTGATTGGAGATTGAATTTTTATTAAGAAAAAAATATTTCGTATTTCAATATAATTTAAAGAAAAAACTTGTTATCTAACTCTATATATTCCTGAAACTTAATGCATTGACGTTGTCTCTAATTTTCAATGTTAGATAACTTCGCAATGATTTGCACTCTCTTGCCGTAACTATTACTTTTCTTGAATTAGTTGTGTAGCATTTGTATAGTGGATATACAATAGTTCTAGAAACTAGCCTTTACACTGGAAATCAAACTAAAGTATCTGTTTCAACTTCAATTGAAAAAAAACATTTCGGAAATTTTATAATTCGAAAGTATTAATATGAAATAAATAAGATGCTATTTTTTTTGCATTCTTTAATACGAAATATCACATTTATTCTTTCATATATACATACATATATATACATACATATGTATTCATAATAAATATATGTATCAGGCGATTAATACTTAAATTTTTAAGCCTTCTTAATTTTCACATCTATAATAATGCCCATTTATATCAACGTGGATTAACTTTAATCTTGGTTTTAATTTATTTTTTCTTCTTTCAATTCTAAGAATTAAAAAAAAGTAAATTAAATCGAGATTAAAATTAATCTACATTGATAGAAATGAGTTTTAAAAAAATTAAAAAGCTTACGTTGCTATAGGTTGAATGTGAATCAGTCTTTCTGGGAATCTTTTATTTCAGAAAATTCCAGGCTTAGAAGAAAGAGAGAAAAAGTAGAAAGAGAAAAAGAGATGAGTCATTTATGAAACATTCTGAGATAAGTCTCCTCAATATTAGGTACATGCATAGATAGAGCTTCTAATAGAAAATATAAGACCAAATTAGTAGCAAATATAAAATATAAAACAAGTATAAAATAAAAAATAGACACAAAAAGAACGGTTTTGCTGAAAACTTAGGTAGATGCAGATCTATATTTTATATTTGCTACTAATTTGGCTTATATTTTCTATTAGAAGCTTTATCTATGTATATACTTTTTATTAATATTGAAAAGACTTATCTCAAAACGTTTCATAAATGACTCATCTCTCTTTCTCTTTCTACTTTTTCTCTCTTTCTTCTAAGTCTGGAATTTTCTGAAATAAAAGATTCCCAGAAAGACTGAAAATAATTTTGTTGAACTATCAAAATAATTGTATTGAGTGCTCAAGCATGATGATAATGTTTTAGAAAGTTTCGATATTCTAACAATCAGCTTGAATGTTCAATATAATTACTTTAATGATCCAACAAAATTATTTTCAGATCCGTATTTCTACTCTTAATTTTTAGATATTTCAACAAAATTATTTTTTCTGTGCATATTAATTCCTATTTCTACCTAATATAAATTAACTTTAATCTCGATTCAATTTACTTTTCATCTTTTTCTAATTTTTAAAACTAGAATACATTGACATTGATGAAAATGAGCATAATTTTTAGAATTAGAAAAAGAAGAGTTAGCTGAACCAAGATTAAAATTAAACTAAATTGATAGAAACGAGTATGAAAGAGTAAAATAAAAATTATATAAGTGAGAGAAGGGGGGGGGAGGAGAGAGAAAAGAAAGGGAAATACGGAGACAGAGCAAACGCGCGCGTAATGATGTGGGCTGAGAACGGCTGGCGTCAAAGCCAAGCAGGTAAAGCGCGTAAGCGAGAGAGGAAGTACCGTGGTGTAGATACGAGAAATTATTCTTGATAAGGTGTGCGCTGGGAAACACGCAGCGAGAGAGTTCCGTTCGACCACCGAGGGCAACCAGTCCGGGTGCTCTCGGCCGGAGCGGCCGCGATTCCGCGATTCCGAGACTCTCGCCCGAGTCAGAAAGATTGTAAACAACGACGAGGACCCACGCGGCGAGGAGAGGAGGAGGGGGAGGGGGAGGGGAGGGAATGCTCGAAGGGCCACCTAAAGGCAAGTGCGTCGGCGAAAGAGAGCGAGAAAGAAAAGGTGGGAGAGACAAGGAGAAATGGCGTAAGCGCGTAAACGTACGGCATGCGTCACGAACCCGTTACAGAACGGACGCTTTTTTTTCTTCTTTTTTCTTTTTTTCTTTTCGACGAGTAAAAAAGTGCATCCGTGTCTGAACGTTAATTGACCGAAAATTGGTCGTGGCCTATACAGCACAGAAGTTTTCAACTCCAGTAATATTTGCAATGTTACTGCAATAATGCTGGAATAATCAGAGAATCAATTGTGTACCTTGAAATGAGATGAAAATTACAAAAATCAAATTTATGTATATAGATTCAGAATATTTATAATTTCATTGAGTAACACCAACTAAATTTGCTCTTTTGTAATCTTCATTTCGTTTCGAGATACACAATCGATCTCCCATGCTGTATAGAGATAAAGATATCTACTCGAAAAATACTCTAGGTATCAAGCGGCGTTTCTATCTTGCGTGGCATTAGAAGAATAGATAAGAATTACGCGCTAGTTAGGTAAATTAGAAACAACGCAGAGGCGTCATATCTATGCTTATATCGTGTGGCATTCAATTCATACACAAATAAATCTCGAAAATATCTCGTTCTTTCAAAAAGCGTTTTCTCTAGGCGAAGAATTAAACGGATAGCTTGTGACGTCTACGCATTATTCGAATCGGATCGGAGCGGAGCGGAGCGCCGCCGTCGTGCAAGACCGACAATGAAAAAGAGAGGCGACATCGAGAAAGGAGAGGGAGGAGGGGGGGAGAGACGTACATAAAAAGAGAGCAAAGGAGAGGGAAGAGAGGGAGAGAGAGAGAGAGAAAGAGAGGTCTCGAGCCACACACGCGTATGCAAAGAGCAGAACGGTGCGGTGGCGGATAGGCGGATGCTCGCAGGGACCATGGCTTCCATCCTTGAATACGCACTTAGCGGCAAATTGCGTCGTTCCTTTGTCCGTCTCTCCATTCGCATTTTCGCGCGACGCGCGGCTACTTAACACGTCGCGTCGGACGAAGTTCTACGCGTCCGTCGCTGCTACCGTTCCGCGGCGTGGCGCGGCGTGGCGTGGCGTGGCGCGGCG